TTTTTAAACATAAATTTAGAATCATAATACTTTTCTTTCAAATTATATTTTGATACATTCATCAATTTTAATTGTGTACAATCATTAAATATTAATAATAATTCCATTATAAATCTATTAAATAATTCTTGACATTGTTTTTCTGGTTTTTTCAAGAATTGTAAAACATTATTTAAATAATTTTCAATACACAACTGTACATTATTATTAAAATGTTCATTATCTATTAATAGATAATTAACGTCAAATTCACGTATATTTTTCTTTACACAAAAATTATAAAAATCATGAGAACATGAAAATTTTCGAGTTAATATTCGTTAATCCATTGTTCGCATACGATTTTTAATCGTTTTGTTGCTTCCACTTCTTCAATTTGTTTCCGTTTTGTTGCTTCTTCTTCCTCAATTTGTTTTTGTTTTGTTACTTCCTCGAATTGTTTTTGTTTTGTTGCTTCCTCAATTTGTTTTTGTTTTGTTGCTTCTTCTTCCTCAATTTGTATTTGTTTTGTTGCTTCTTTCATTTCACTTTTTATTCTTTTGGTTTTATTTTTTCGAATAAGTAATTTTAATTTAAAAGTTCTTAATAATTTATTTTGATTGTAACGTATACGCATATTTGTTATATTTATCTTTTTATCTAGAAACAAGAAAGAAAGTATGAAATAGAATTAAGATTCGACTGTGTTTCTTTAAGATTTGTTTTTTCTTTGTAAAAATTTCATTTCGTCTTAAATACGAAAAGTTCAAAGAGCATTTTCACTATTCGATTTGTCTTTTAAAATAAAAGTAAAATATTCAACAAATAAAAATAGTAAACTTTAATTATTGTCAAATACATTTCGATTTTTTGAAAATAATAAAAATAAAAGAAATAGTTAATATTAGTTTTAACTCGAGTTTTTCCTCATTTTGATCTGCAATTCATCTGATAGACTTTAATAATTCAAGAAAATAGTAGACTTATTATGAATCGAAGAAATATACTAAGAGATATTAAAAACGAAGTTTAAATTTTTGAAAAAAATTTTCAACTATTTTGAAAATCTTTCTCGAAATAAGAATGACTAAAGCATATTTTTAAATATAAAAAATAGTATAATTTTTCAGTTTTGTACAGATAAACATTGATATTCAATCTGTCAAGTATGATAAATCTTCATGGATTAATTTAAAAACGGTCTATTGAATTTATCTATACGTACATATATAGATAATATTGAGATTTACTTCTGTATATTTAATCTATTTCTACTAAAGACTAAAATAACCAAAAAACAAAATTTAAGTCAACTTATTTTTTACCATTTTTTCTATAATATAATTAAAAGGCTATTGACTCGATTTAAATAATATTATAGATTGTATGAAAAATTGATTATGTCATATATATTACATTCATGTAAGTCTTTCTCTCTTTATATTTAGATTTTTTAGAATAAAAATTTATTTCCTATGTCACACAATAGGTTAAAAGGTGTTGTTAATGTTTCTCATTTTTTAAATGATTAAATTCGCTATAAAACGAAAACAAAATGAAGAAAACAAAAGAAATATTTATATTCTAAATATTTCTAAATACTAATTGATTTTCTAAAGTCGATCATTACCTGTAAAAGACGATTTTTTTCCAAGAACAAATCTAAAATATCGAAGAAAGAAGTGAAATTTTCATTCGCATGGCATTTCACTCATGGTTGCTAACAAGTATTTATTAAAAGATATAAAAAACAACTCATTTAAATAAAAATAAACATCACTTTAGCGCATAGTCAAGTGCTACGAAAAATTTAGAAAATTGTTTATTATGATATGATATTCATTGAAAGAGTTCACTTTTCTTTAATTTTCGTCTATAATCATTAGATAACAGTTTTTGCATCTAACAATCACATTTATCAAGTATTTTTAACTTTTAAAAATTAATACTTTCAATCATTCTATTGATTTCTTCATTATATTTTTCATTTTAACACAAACTTCTTGATTAGAAAACGTGAAACACTAAAATACATTTGAATCTATTTTTCGTAAAAAAAAATAAAAACTATTTTGTCACTATAAAAGATCTATATACAAAGAAAAAAACACAGATTTGACAAGTATAGTATATTATAAAATCGATTTCTCTTAGAAATTCTAAATCGACTTCATAAGGCTTCTGTCACATAAAAGAAAAGTTGAAAAAGGGAAAATTTGTAAGAATTCAGCAAAAAATATTAATCAATAATTAAAGATCTTTTTAAAATTTAATCTAAACTTGCATAAGTTATGACGAATAAGACATGAAACCTGCTGAATAAGATCAATATTGAATGAAATATTGAATAAACTGGTTAGACTTACTTGGTTTCGTTTTGTTTTTTTCAATTTAAATGAATTTGATTGAAGAACACATGTCTATTATATACGAATTGCGCTTTCGTATGTGTGTACATCTATGATTATCTTTGTCTTTTGTTTGATCAATATTCGACTAATCAAACATATTTTGAATAAAGATGTCAGTTGACGGGCAGAAAATTAATATTGTTTTCTTGAAATGTTTCGTCATCTTTATCAATAATTATATGTTAGTGAGTATACCATAGTTTTACTAATAATGAGACATTTAAAAACAAAACAAAAACCATGACTGATCAAAAGTCTTATATATTAGTATAATTCAGGGTTTCCAAATTTCCTGATTTGACCAGGAGACTCCTGATAGTTCGAATTTTTCTCCTGATCAAAAAATCTCCTGAATTTAGAAGCTGATTTTGAAGATTTTCTCCTGATTTTGAATTCTTTCTTGCAGTTTCGATTTTCATGAAATATTGAACAAACTGAAAAAAGTGCAGCATAAAAGGAGAACCGTTGCAGTACTAAATAGATGCAACGACCCAAAATAGAAAACGCTACCGCTGCTTATTTTCTTTAAAAATGAGATAGTCAGTTTCAGAAACAGAAATTCTGTATAAAAAATCGAAATAATTGATCATTAGAATAACTTTCATAAGGTTCACCAAATGTGGGGTGTGGGTAGGGGTGTGAATTTATTGTTATTGATATTAATAACAATATTTTTTTTTTGAAAAACTTTCAATTCGAATTGCTGCCTATCTCAACTGTACAAATTCGATTGATCTATGTTTAAGGAATGAATTTGCTGCGGCTATGACTATAACTGATCTCAAAATTTCAGAATTCGCATGGATCATATACAGGGTGGGTCAACAGTAACAGGATAAAAAGTTTTTACGGTTTTCTTTCTTTGTATATCGACAGTTACATCTCATATTTATACTACATATACTATGGAGTACTAGTCAGAGGTGTGTCATGTGATCAGTCTCTAAGCATACCAACTGGTTCCAGACACATACATGTATAAATTGCTCGTATGTGACTACATGAAAAAATTCATGTTTGTTCTGTTACATACGATTTTCATATTCTTGCCCGTTTATCTCATTTTGAAATATAAATTCGACCCAATTGAATTTCATGTTCTTTTGGCCTAAAGGAGTTCAAAATGTGATCAAATCGAATTTGTATACCAGATTGGGATTAACAGGCAAGAATATGAAAATTGTATATAACACAACAAACATGAAATTTTTCATGTAGTCACATACGAGCAATTTATACATGTATGTGCTTGGAACCAGTTGCTATGCTTAGAGATTGATCACACAACACATCTCTGACTCAAAGTTGTAACCAGTCTAGAAATTTTAGAGCGGTCCAGTTTGACTGGTGATCGGCTAGTCTAAAAAATAATTCCAGACCGATAAAAACCGGCGAGTTTATGAAGTTTGTTCATATGATAAAAGTGATATTAGGGGCGAACTTTCACTCTAAATGCTTATAGATTTATATCTAGGAGAAAAAAACTGATTTTTGAAACATTATTTTTATCAATTTTAACGGAAAATAATCAATGTAATAAAAAAATCAAAATATCACTCATTCGAAAAGGTCTAGTCTTGAGCGTTTTGGGCCGTTTTTTTAAATATTTTCTTATAATTTAAATGTAAAACTAGAAGTTAATTTACAAAAAACACGTTTCACACATTTAGAGGAAAAAGTTTTATCATGATAACTACAAAAAGACGATGTTTTCGATTTTCCTGGTAATATTGATTTTCCTCAAGTTTTTTTTTGTTTCCCTGAATTTTTTGATTCAATTGATCTTTTTTGTTTGAAAATTGATAGAAAAAAAAAGACAACAATTTGCTCTTAGTTTTTAATGGAAACATCCGATTAATAAGTTTAACCAATTTACTTGAAAATAGACCTGATTCTAGTTCTTTTTCATATGTATCAGTCTTATCTTTTCTGTAACACATATACTGCAGTGAGCTTTGTTCTTAATTCGTTTATAAGATTTCCAATAAGAAAACTGGGAGACAAACTAGGCTTGTGATCGATCGAGATCGTTGACCTGATTCAGTTCATTGAGCGAAATTTTAGACTAACCCAGTTTGACTAGTGACCAGCTGATTCAAAACATCTATTAGGCCGGTGGAAACTAGCAGAATATGGTCCGCTTGTTGCATCATTATTAATTCGCTAATAGAGATGATTTCAGAAACAGTCATTTACCTTTTTCATTCCAGTTTTTACAGATCATCAGGAACGAATATCATGTTCTAGTTCTTCATATCTGTTTGGTTTCTCAAAGATAAATACCTGAGATATTTATATATAGCTCGAAAAAAGTGTCATTTACAGATCAATTGATTGCCACATTTCAGATTTTGAATTTTATTCACTTAACCTTTACAAATAACACAACGCTTCTCTCTCAACGATGGCTCGAACCTAAATTTTATCTTCACAAAAAATCTATGAGATAAGTTTAACTGAACTAATATAGATTCGAATGCACTTTTCAGAAAATAAAGCGTATTTGGATTAAAGAAATGAAATAGATTGAGGAACAGAAGAAAAAAATGTATAGTTTTTGAAATAAAATAAGTTGGTTATTTTGATAAGGGCATAAAAACTTGCTATCAATAAGTTTTAGCTGAAAAATCTGTACATTCATAAAATATATTTTAATCAGTGAAAACCGGCTGATCCAACCGCTTCTACCTGTTCGGTCCGACCGAACCGGTTACAACTTGCTCTGACTAGTATCCTGTAGTATATGCAGTATAAATATGAGATGTAACTGCCGGTATTTAAAGAAAAAAAATCGAAAAAACTTTTTATCCTGTCACTTTTGTCCCACCCTGTATATAATCTATGCGAATTCTGAAATTTTGAGATCGGTTAATGTTATAGTCGTAGTAAATTCATTCCTTAAACATAGACCATAGAATTAGTATAGTTGAGATAGGCAGCAATTCGACTTGAAAGTTTTTCAAAAAAAAAGTTATTTGTTTTTTTTTGTTGTTAATAACAAATAACAAAAAAGTTATTGTTACTGTTATTAATAACAACCGAATAACAATAACTTCTCACCCGTAAGTGTGGATGTGTAGGGTGTGGGGTGTGGGTGTGGGTATGGGTGTGGATTATCATGTTCTCTATCCCTTAGTATACAACGACACTCACGCCCACACTCACACCTCACCTACACCCACATCCACACCCCATACCAACACCCACACCCACCCACAGCCACACC